CACAGACTCAAAAAAGAGATATTGCATGGTGTTTACCGCAAGCTTTCCATCTTAGTTATTCATTTTAATTGATTCCCAATTATCAATTATCTTATTCCACTTGCTCTAAATAAATTCATACGTGTAGTTTGATTACACGTTTTGGAAGTTGTCTATAATGACTAGAGTTAATGAGTCATGATGCACAATGAAACGGAACATTTTATTTAGACTTTCTATCAAAACTTTGTGTAACTGTCCCCGAACTAGATCGATAATAGGTATGAACTTTCTAATGTTCAACACCCGTCTTCACATTTGTTACAACTATTCACTTAGGTTCAAACTAGTTCCAAGTCTCCTCCACTTGAACTGACATTTCCTCTATGTTTTCTCTTTGAAGTTATATGTTAATACTTGAAATGAATTTAAACATCAAGACATACCTTTGTATTAGCAGCATGTTTCCTTTTGAGTGTCTTGTTATCATCCCTAGCTTCATCTAGTTGGATAGAAAGCTGCTCTACTGCACGGCTTTTCTCAGTGAGTTTACTTGTTAGAAGAGATGACTCACGTTCCCGCAACTGACACTCCTGCTTCAACTCAGTGCTCTGTAAATAAGTACACGCTTACAGTTCACTACGGAGGGAATTTGGCTAATTTCTGTGTAAACAGAAACCCCATAAATCTGTCCTGAGGCTTAAAATGATTTATTCAATACAGTAAACCTAACCTGGAATTCTTTTCTCCAAATCATGTTCATTTGGCTGAATATTACTGAGAAAGGAAAGTTTTGAGGAAGTGGGGAGATTCTGCAGTAAAAATCATCTTAGAATTATGAACAGTTATTCATTATCAATTTTAAATGCACATTCATTGCACAAACCTTTTCAATTTTTGAACATCTAAACAACAGACCTTCTTTTCATCTTCCTACATTTGAAAACAAAAGTGGATACAATTAATATGACAAGACACTACTTGCAACCCTTTGTCATTGTTCCTCCTACAACCTGTAAACTAAAATGAGACCCGAATGGTGATGGACTGGATTACAATCAGTATTCACTTACCAACTGACTGTAGCTTGTTTGTAGCTCATCAAGGTCTCTCTCAAGTTTTTGAACAGCAGATTCTAGTTGGCTTGCCTGTAAATAATGATGCAAACCTATTAATATGTTTGGTGTTTTTTGATCTCCAATTTGATGGAATACACTGATGACTAAACTCCAACTGCAGGACAGTATTCTCAAAACTCAGGGTTTGGATTCTTGTATCATGTTCTCACACTGAGTCAACCCCTCCTTCAATGAATATACTGATAACTAATCTCTGACTTCATGGTAGTATACCCAGAGCTTAAGAACACATCTTTACATTGTGATCCCTAATACAATGAAATACTAATGACTAACCTTTAACTGCAGTGCAGCATTGTCAGAGCTCAAGGATGTGTTTTTGCTGGTTATTTTCTCTGTAAACTGTAAAAGTTCGCTCTCTTTCTGTCTGGTTGCTTGCAGTTCCATCTCTAGGTCTGATTGATCACTCTTTTGTCCAGAAACCTCTGACCTTAGTTGTTTTTCAGTCTCTTTCAAGCTAGATGATGCAAGATATAATGGGTACATTAAATTAGTATCTTGTGTTACAGTTACAATTGTAGTCTCTGTACATTTCATCTATTTCCAAAGTACAATCTGTGAATAACATGATGCATATGGAGTGAAGCACAATTACATTGAAATGACAACAATTATTAATATCAATGTAAAGATTTACAAGCTTAACCCCAATAGTTGACTAGAAACACATTTCAAATAAATACCAGATAAACATCAAGAATGATGAACAGGAACAGATAGAATCAAATACTAGAAATGAACGGAAATAAAGATCATAGAAAAGGATACAAGATCCATTATTTCACTATCAATGTGTTAGATCTGAACAGTCATTGGAGTCATTAATGTACTTACTTTTCAAGTTCTTGTGTTAACGATTTCTTCTCTTCCAGCTGTTTGTTAAGTCGCCGATTTTCTTCCTTTTGTGAGTTCAGAAGTTCCTTGAATTTGGCAAGTAGCTCCTCATTTTGATGTCTTTCACTTTCCAAACACTTGTTCTGTTTTAAAGTACCAAAGCCAACCCCCCAAAACAACACAAATGAAATTGGAAAAAACAGAAACAAAAACTGATAACATCAACATGGAAGAAGTCCTAGCATAAGTAATATATACACAATCCAAAGGCTCCAAAACTGACCATCTACAAACTGATCACTTCAGACAGCACCTGCTGAGCATCTGACTTAAGTTTGAATCCTTCCATTGTTTTCCTTGTTTCCTTTAAAAACAATTTACTATGCCAGTTTCACCAATAATTTACTTTATGAACGAAAATGAATTCATGAAAATGTGGCACCTTGACTTTGAGAGAATCAAGTTCAGCCACATTATCAGCAAGATTCTTCTTGAGTGATTCAAGCTCTCGGAGTCTAGCCTGATGAACTTCTAAGTGTTCTTTCTGTTCTTGTAATTTCTCCTCCAGCTCACTGTGTTTCTCCCTGAGCTGTCGGTCAAGGCTGTTGGACTTCACTTCTTCAGATGTCTGAAAATCAGAGAATATAAACATCTAACAAAGCCCTGTTATTGGAAGGGAAAGACATATGCTCAAATGTCATTCCTGAGTGCACAATCAACTTTTAGGGTAAATGCTATTTGAACTAATTTTACCTGGTATGTCTTAATCATCTCCTGACAGTTTTTTCTAATTTGCTCCGTTTCCTCTTTTGCCTCCTTAAGTCTCTGTTCCACCTTTGCAAGTTTCACTTTAGTTTCCTGTCGATGAAATAAGGTAAATTCCATCTATGACTAATGTGGCAGACTGCAACAGATACTTGGGGCCCTGCACATGATGATACACGTACATGTAAATATTAGCAAAACGTGAAAATGCCATTTCTAGAAGTTTATAAATAGGTTCTAAATATCAAACTGGGTCAAATTACAGTAAATTTTTGCACAATGCTAAAAAATCAATATATTTAGTTCTAAATCTATTAGTTCCCAGAGACATTTAATCGTTGTAACAATCTTTCAACACTGATGTGACTTTTTCTTCACCTTGTGCGCATCCAGTTCTGTCTTCAATTTATTTTGGGCCCATTTAACTTTGATTCCTTGGGAGCTAATCTCCTCCTTCAGCTGATCGACTTCCTTCTGTAGATACGAAGCTTCTGTTTCCTATTGTAAAACAATTCAAGGTCACTTTTTAAACTCATTTTCAACAAGCTGACTGGGAAAATGCAAAACTAGAATCGTTTTGTATAGAACAAGAAATACTAATGAAGAAAACAAAACAGACACGGCTGTTAGATATTGAACAAAGACAAAAATACTAGCATTTCTAAAGGAATTATGATGAACAAGGACAGTAAAAGGTAGCCAAAATGCACCTTTGATGTTGCTGTATTCTTTAACTTGGAGCGTTCTTTCTTGATATCATGAAGCTGTGTCTTAAGTGACTCCACTGACAAGTTCAGCTCTTTGAAACTTTTCTCCAGTATTTCCCGTTGTTTCTTCTGATCCAAGACTTCTTTTTCACTCTTGGCATACTTGATGACAACAGCTTCCTTCTCTTTGATTGCTTCTTCATACATGGATTTCACCTGATTGATGAAATGTGTTTTCATAGATTACATCCGACTATATACTCATTACAAATATTGCAAAACATAAACCTATATTTAATTTGGCTGTCGGTTGGTTTATTTACAAATGTACTTTTTATGCATACACACAAACAACAGGCTACATCACAAGCATTGCCCAAATTCAATTAACTTCATATGATAAAACAAACAACATGAATGTAAAACTGTCTTCTGAATCCCTTTTAATTATTACAAAACTTCATATATTTCAAAATGTGACAATCTGTTGACTTGAGAAGTATTGCATTAACCTGATCAACCCTGAGTATCATTTCCTGTTGGAGCTGAGTGATGGCTTTCTTGGCAGCAGCATCGTGGGAAAGCTGTCTTTCTTTACTTGCAGCTAATTCTATCTTTTGTTGGTCAATAAGTAACTCGAGCTGAAAGTAAAATAAAATAAAGGCAGACTAATGATCAAACCTGCAAACCAATTCTACTGGGTGATATTCTGTTATTGGATCTAAAGCAACAAATTTCACCTAACGTAATGTGAACAAAAGTTTAAACAACCATATAAATCCAGAGTCAAGTGTCAGGTCTGCATGAACTTACTTCTTTTATTCTCAAGAGATGCACAGTTTGAACTGATTCTGCTTGTTTTACATTCAATTGTAGCGACTCCTTCTCTTGCTCCAGATCAGATATTTGCTGCTGTTGATTGGACAAGTGCTCCTGCATCCTACAGAACAAAAAACATATAAATAAAACATTCAGTGTAAAACAGAAAACAGTCCCATGACAATGTTGTTGTTTGCCAAGTTGACTATAGAATTAATTTTGACATGTGATGGAAGTTAGTGACGTCATGTACGGTATATACTCTAATTTAATACATTAGAATATGCCAAGCTTGAATTTTAACTTTAAGGACAGTAGGTTCTACATTGTACATATATTTAATATAAAAACAGAAAATGTAGACATTGGCTGATTTTTCTGTCAAGTCTTATGTCATCCTTTGCCATTACATACACTGAGTCTCTCAGATTGCTTACAAGTTACAGAGATTGCTTACACATGTACATGAACATGTAAGTTGAACAAAAAAATGCAATACATTGCCTCACATCTGCCATGAAA